AAAGAAAAAATGTGTCTGTTCGCTTATGTGTTTATTTAGACTAGGACGAGGATGTGCTAGGTCCAACCGGAGTGTAAGCTCTTTGAAGGTGGAGACTGTGCCTGTACTTTTGTTGTTATTGTTTTATGTTTTTCTGAGAAACACGTGCAGGGCCTGGTACGGGGCAGATACCCAATCAGTACTCGTGGAAATGAAGGGCTGTGCCTTCGCACCGCTGGCCTGAGATCTGGTTTCTGTGCGGGACGGACCCTTGGACCTTGCCATGGACTTGGCTTTGGGTCCCTCCCATCATCCTCTCCCAGAGCCCTCCAAGCCAATGGCCTCTCTATTTCACCTCTTCACTCACTTTCCTACCCAAACCTCACCCCAAGTGCAACACATGTGCAGAAGATCTAAGTGCACCAGAGTTAGCGTCAGCTAAGACATGGGACCTGGGGAGGTTCACAGCCACCGCTCCAGAGCAGCAGTGACCACAGTCACCTGTACCAGTCACCACACTAGTCCCATGAATCCTCTCACATTATTGTTACCTCTATTTTGTATGGGAAAACAGAAAGTGCCTTTTCTAGGATCATATAGCCAGTAAACCAGAGGTAGGATTTAAACCCAAATGAGTCTGACTCCAGTTTCCAGGATTAGTTGGACGTTTTAAGGGTCAGAACCTTCACCGCACAGACAAGGCAGAGAGGCCATCCAGGCAGTCTACTGAGAGAACTGTCCCTGGGGTTCCTAGTGATGTGTTTCCATCTAGTCTTGCACTGTCCCTGCTCGCTGGTCTTTCTTTCAATCCCATCTCTCTTTCTAACCCTGTCCTTTACTCAGGTGCATTTCAGGGTCAGTTCTCTGGACTAGAGCACGCACATTGAAAATCTCCCTCACCTTTTCAAGCCCTGGAATCTAAGGTTTAGATAGGAACTACCTTTCTTCCTGTCTCCACTAAACAAAGTAGCAAATCCCGACCCTGTTTAGTGCATCACAGCTGGGTCCCTTCGGGTTACCAGTACCTGGAGAAGTTCCAGCAGCAATTATCTGAAGGAAGCATGGTGTGGGCAAACTCTACTCAGCCTGCCTCTGAAGACAGGTGTTCAAGCTTTAGTGCCCCCATGCTGAGCTCTGGGCAAAAAGCTTCTTCATGGGCCAGCAGCCAGCTTCATGGTTCGGGCCCTAGACCCAGTGGCTTGAAAATTACATCACGCATGTATGCATGTGTGCCCAAAATCCAGAGAGGAGAATGGGGGAGAAGGGATTGCAGCATGGCCATCCCCTCTCTAGGCCATTTCTCACTCCCCTCCTCTCTATTTAGCGCACACATCCTCTAGCAAAACTAAAAACAAAGAAACAAGTAAGCTGCTGCTTCAATGCCATCTTTCTCTGGAGCCAGGGTACTTCTGCAGATCCTCTGAGATAATGTTTGCAAAGCCTGTGAGTCCCTGAGCCACACCACAGCAGTCACACAGCAGCAGCATGCGGAGAGCACAGAGAGGGTCTGCCTCCGTCAGTAAACCGCTGTGGCACACTCCCCTCCCCGGTGCTTTCTTCCCCCCATCTGCAGTCAAACGGTTACTCTAAAGGTGCAGGTAAAGAACTGGCTCAGTGCCAATGGCTTTTGCTTCACACTTCTTCAGCCAAGAGTGGTAGGAAGATGGGATCCACACTCTTCCTGCTCAGAACAAAGCCCGAGAGCCTTCCTGAAGAGTCCCCACTGGGTGGCACTTGGCTGGGCTGTCAAACCTTATATGTGTTAGGGTCCTGCATGAAGAAAACAATGCTGGTTTTAATCTCCCTCCGAGTGGATCAGATTAATTCTCTGGCTGCAAAAGCTGGGCCATTTCTCATAGGCTGATTGAGCAAAGATACTTTGGCAACAAGTTGCCTACAAGACGGGGGCTCCTCATACCTGCTGAAGAATAAAGCCTCCCAGAACTGCATAGAAATTATGGCCAGAACAGGGAAACTTCAGGGTCTAGGAGCGTGCCAGGAGGAGATGACATCTGGGGCCAGAAAGCAGAATAGGATGGTTTTGAACACCTGGATATGGCTGCTGGCTGCTCACCAGCTGTTCCTTCTGGCACCAGGCATGAAGGATCCAGGCATATACTCAATGCTAGGAGTCGAAAGCCCTTGGCAGTCATTAAGCCCTACCTCCTCTCAGCTTGCGGACGGGAGAAACAAGGCACTTACAGAGGTGGTCAGTGCAGCTAGGGGAAAGCTGAGACACACAGAGGAACTGGATTTCCAGCCCAGGGTTCTTCTTGCCCCACAAATGATCATTTTCCATAGACAAGTAGAACTGTAAGGTTCAAGGACTCAGGCTCTGGAGACGGTAACTTATTTCTAATCTAGCTCCAGGTGTATAAATTCTATGACTACAGTCAAGACATTCTATTTCTCAGTTTACCCACTTCCTTTTTTTTTTTGGAAAAGTTTTTGCTATAGGGTGTGTGCGCTTACCAGAAACAGAGAAACAGAAAGCAAGAAATCACCCCCCAGGGAGGATGGCCACACCACAATCCCTTCTCCTCCATTCTCCTCTGGGGATCTTGGGCACACACGCACATACGCCTGGCATGAGTTTTAGCTGCCAGGTTCGGGACTCAAACCATGGTCAGCTACATGGGAGTTCAGTGACATAGCCATTACACCAACTACTGGTCTCCAGTTTACCTATTTCTAAAGTGGGAATGGCAATAGTGCATAGCAGGGCATTGTGATGATTACCTGAGTTAAGATACATCTAGCTTTTAGAATCATGCATACAATGCAACCCTATGACAGGAATTCACACTCTCAGGACCATCCTGGGTGAGCGGAGAAGCCTGTCCATCCACTGCATCACCCTATGGTTTCACCTCTCTGAAACAGTCAGCAGAAGCCAAATGTGGTTGCAAACCCTGTACCCAATGAACATCAAGCATCTTGTAGCAACTCCTGCACACCATCAGAAATAGTTCCCTTTAGGATTCTGCATCCTTCTCTCTTCATACCTCACTTTTCCATGTCTTGCTTTTCCATATGTGTCTCCTTTCTCTATGCTTACCCTCCTTTACTTTAGCTACACCCAGCTTTTTGCTGACAGTGTGACACTCACAGATACGCATAAGTTCACTGGTAGAAACTGGAAAAGGATGATCCCTACCCTAAAAACCTCTCTCAAGTAGGGCGTATTGGGGTGTCAAATGTTGCTGAAGTCAACACAAACATAATAAGTGAAAGACTTATACATAACACACATAGGCACTTATATATAACTACTCTTGTATGTCACAAAGTAAAGGATTTTTTAAAGAAAAGTACACAGAATAGATAGGTAGATAGAACTCTTAAAGAAACATGTGAACCTTACAAATCTGTATTGCTCTTTTCCTTATAAACTTTAAAAATGTAAATCATTCATCTTTTGCAGAAGACAGTGTAGACAATTACCTTGAGCTTCAACTCAGACATTTTGCAATCAGTACATTCTATAGGCCAGTATGATTCCTTGGGATGTGTGCGGGGACTGCTAGAACCCTCAGAATCAGGATACTTCCATACATATTTATGGAGTTCCTGTGAGGCCCAGAGCATAGTGCTAGAATCTAGATCCTGACATTATTTGAACACTCTATAATGAAAATCTAGAGCAATATAAGCCTAATTTTAAGCTGCCAAGTGAATAGGACTCTTTAGTCAGGAAAAGTATTATGTATCTTGTAAGGCAGAGGAAGAGGAGGTATCCAGGTTGAAATCCCTGGGTAGGAATTTATTGTCCACTCACCAATTTGAGCTCCCTAAGCAAAAACTTCCCACCAATCCCTTCCTGAACAAGGCACACACCCATCCTGTAATGCCGACAGGCTAACCAACTGCATGGGGTCCTGCCCAAGGAAACCTGTACCACCTTGGTTTTGTAAAGGAGGCATGCTTTTTCCAGTAGACCTATTCAGTTCTTAAAGAGGCAGTGACATACTGACAGAGATAATAGGGAAGGCATGCCGTCCTGTCTGCATCTTATCTTTGTTGCTCATCTTACGAGAAACCTTCCTGATGGAGTTTGACCCTGGGCAATACTCAATTTTGCTCTCCCTGGGATATACTTTCTTGCTAGCTACTGGTCTTGTTTATGACCCTACATGCTTGCAAATAGGAGGACCAAAGAGACAGAGTTATTATAGGTGCATTTGCCCTGATCCCTTAGAACAGACTAGGGCAATCCAAATTCATATACTCTGTTTTCTTGAGACACAGCAGACGAGAGAGAAGGAGCAGCACTCATGATTCAGTCGTCTTCTCCACGGAACACGGATGGTTCACTAGGCCAGAGAGAGGGCAGAAGGAAGAAGTGAAGGGAGCTCTTTCAGGCTGGTTCCTCAGGTGGTAGTCTGTTCCAGGAGTGCTGGAGAAGCACTGTTGACTGCAGGGATAAGCCCTCTTACAGTCTTTAGGCTCTTGAGGATGGTGTTTTGTGCTTCCTCTGCTGGTTCAGAAGGCCCCTCCATGACACCCAAGTTACTCATGTGGAGGATACCAGGCCTTCCACCTGAACACTGGGACTTCTGCTGCTCATAAATGTCGTCATCCTTTTCCCCTCTTGTTCCTCTCCCCATCACACACACTTCCTGCCCCTCTAGACCTCTCCTCCCCATATGCTTGTCTTCCTCCTGCTCATCTCTGTCTGTCCTGGGCCCTATTCCAAAGAGTACACAGCTAGAGCACCACTCAGGAAGCAGCCATTGGATTCCTCTCTTACCAGAGTCCTGCCTGTTCTCTTAACCATCGAGCCCCCAATCTCAGTAATTACTGTCAGCTCTCCCTCCTCACTTCATAAACCCCAGTCCTTCAGAGAAGGCCACAGAGGTCAAGGCATCCCAGTAGGCATTTCTCATTTGTCCAGACTTGGAAGGGTCACTGGAGAGGGGTGAGGGAATGCTCACAGAGAAGCATGTTCATGTGTGCTTGTCAGGGGGTGAGTATGGTGTCCTTGGGGTATGTGCTAATGGGTCTCTCTTTCCCCTCCACAGGGCCTGGAGCAGTTATTGACGGTGTAAACTCGGCTTCTAGAGCACTGGCTTGCCTCTGGCTTTCAGGGACCCTCTTTGCCCACTTCTTCATCAAGTTTTGATAAGAAACCCTAAGTCCTCTGAGCAACGCCTGCTTCTCCATGTCACAGACTTTAATCTACACTGCGGAGGGCAAACCAGTTTGGCTTCTTTTTATTTGTTTCTGTTCTTCTTGATTTTTTGTTTGTTTGTTTTTCATTTTTTTCCCCTTGATTGGTTGATTTTAGTTTACCTGTTTTTCTGTTTCCCAATTTGAATGAGTGGGGTTGGGGGAGGGTGGGCGAGTTCCACCACGTGTGGGATAATCACTCATTGGTGTGTCCAAAGTGGGGTCTCCTCTTCAACCTGGACCTTCCCTTTCTTCTGTTCCTCCCACCACTGTCATTACCTCCTCCTTCCCCCACATATATCAAAATGTAAGTTCTATTTCGGCAAAAACAAACAAACAAAACGTGCCTCATGATAAACACCCTGAAGACACAACTTGACTCATTACGTAGTATGCAGCGCAAGTTACATCCAAGTGTCCTATTATCTGTGTCCTTTAAGCTCTGGTCATTTTCCAGATTCTAATGTACATAGCCTTCCTTCTGTGTTTATTATTCTCGAATTCCATTAGGGTTCACACCTTTTCTTTATTGGGAAATTATTTCACTATAGTCAGATATATATTTTAAAATCTTGCCATGTTCTCTCCCTACTCTGCCCTGTCCATTTCTTCTACAGCTACATGGATTAGAGAATTAGGAATATGCATGCAACCCCAGACTAAAACTTTAGAAGTCAAATAACCAAAAAAGCGGGAGGCATTTTGAAGATAGTACTTCTCTTTAAAAAAAAAAAAATGCTGTCCAACTTATAAAAATTGATTGATAGATGGCTGCTTACTTAGATTTCATCAAGCTATCTATCAAAGTAATCATGTGGTTATCCATCTATTCTGATGTCTGATTTCTCTCTCCATCCAATTATCTACCCACCTGTGTTCCTCTCTAGAAAGCTATTTACTCTATTTATCAACCCATCAATGTAATTAGCTAACACTTCTTTCTATTTCTCTCCCTCTACTATCAATTCATCACCATATTAATCTCTAATCGTATTGTGTCTGTCCCATTGCATCCATTTCTCCTCTACCATCAGCAGACACTGGCATCTTCAAAATGACCTACCCACTTCTCATGTGAAAGCCAATGATCTCACAGGCTGACAACACAGAAAAGCAATACCGTGTGTCGTGGACTCTCTGCAATGTGCTTTCCCATCGCCCGCAGTAGACACTACTAACAGATGGACCGAAGTAGCAATCCAGTCATCAGTCACTCACTGTTCCCAGAAGAGGCTGTTTCCAGAAACATCTTGGGAAGCAGATCAGCCCTGGAAGAGCCTTGATTAGCATGGTGTTTTTGTTTGTTTGTTTGTTTGTTTTTCTTTCACGCTTGAAGAATGAAGGTACCAACCTTTGTGCTTCTCTCAGCCTTTTAAGAAAGTGCATGTCAGGAAACTATGGGACCTAGTCCATGGCTGGTTTTCCTTAATAGCAAGAATGTAAGAGAAAGCAACGCACATCTGTCCCTGAGCTGTGAAGAGAGCAGTCCAGCCGCCCGAGTGTGATGACTTCCGCTACTGTCTCCTCTCTGTTCCAGTTCTGGTTTAATGTTTGAAAACTATCCAGTAAAAAGCTGATGGAGGCCAATTACGTGGCGGGTGTGTTGACAACTCTGGTATTTGTTTCGGGAAGCTCTTCTGAGTTGAGGGCACTTGAGCAACTGACTTAATTTCCGAGCACTTGATTAACACAACACTGCAAACAGAAGGGCAAAGTGTAAGTGACACAGTTCCCTTGATGCAGGCTGCTCCTCCAGTGGCTTTGGGGAAGAAGGTCCTCAGCTCCTCATGTTCGGAGCAGTCCCAGCCTACAGACAGGAGCTGGCTCGACTTCCAGTATTGTCTTCTGGGACAAAGACTCACTCAGCAAGGGAGCCTGTGGTTCAACAAACAGCACAGAAAACCACCCTGGACTGTGCTGCAGGACAGACGCTGAGAGGGTAAGTCGGGAGCATCCACCGTGGCTTTCTCACTGACCTTCCCTGCCTCAGTCGGAAAACTTGTCAGGTCCAGAGTCTTAGACAATAAAACTACGTGCTGCATCGAGTTCTATCCCTTTAAAGCTTAGCGCCTCCTCTTCTTTCAGTACAAGTGCCCTCTTTGTCTTCGTCCATCACGGCTCGTGCACACGACACCCACATGGGGACACAAATGCACAGATATACATACATGTAGGTGTGCAGGCAAACACAGGTGGTCTTGGCATGCAGAAAGCTTGGCGCTGCTGTAAGACGCAGAGCTGGCGTGAGCAAAATTAATATTACATTTACCAGATGTAGGCAGACATCTGCATTTCCTAGTGAGCTGCCAGGAGCCACACTCTGGGAACATAAGTGACGTGCCAACAGCAGTCTACCGATGCCAAGTTCCAGGGACGATCACGAGCAGGCACAGAGTCAGAACTAAAGGTCAGGCATAGACGTCTCAGATCTGTCGCCACATTCAGCACCTGGAGCCGGGCTGGTGTCAGACCTCGTGCGCGAATTCAGCGTGTTCCTGGAGTGTTCTGTCGATGCTACATCTGTTCCCTTGGAGTAAAATAAGTGTGGAGGATGTGGGAGCCGATGGTCTGGGGGAACACCTGCTTGAAAGGGACAAGCTGTACCTGTTCCTCATTCCAGGACTTGTTCTAAAGGGTGTCGGGGGGAGGTTCAACCTCTTTTGGCCAAGATCATTGGAACCTGTCAAACCAGCGAAGCTGGTCTCAGGGTCGCTATGGAACTCTTCTCTGTCCCCTTCCACTAGATGCTAGGAAGTCTCTCTGCTGGCTACCAAACCCAGTTTCAAAGGAGAATGCCACCGTTAGTCATCTCTCTGGGATCCGACAACAAAGCAAATAAGACCCAGGGAATGGTGGGGCTTCTAGTGAAAATGACTCCTTTTTCGCATCAGACATATTCCAGCTTCTGTGTTGTTTGAGCTACTTTGGTGGGACGGCTCTATGTGACAGTAGTTTTACTCAACATTTTGAAGCATATAGAACAAATGCCTACTAGAGATGATACCAACACTTAAACGCACTTTTCCAGCATTACAGTACGGAGGAGGAGGAGGGTACATGGGTAAGGCCTGCTGGACAGATTCCTTCAGGGTGCCAATGGTGGAGGTGGGCCAGGGACCAGGAAGAAAAGAAGAAATAAGTCTCTCTCTGCAGGTTTTCCACACGGGAAGGAAACCAAATAAGGTTTATTAGGTCAGGTAAAAGAAGTTGGCAATGTAGTTGCTCTGAAACCCTCCCTCTCCTGAAATCAAAGTTAATATGTACTTCCGCCAAAGTAATGCCAATGAAAGTGCTAGTGTGAAGGCTCTGGCTGAGCTTGTTCTCCAGTAGTTTAATGTCAAGTGCCTGATACAGTCATCCGCAAGTCTAAACGGTGTGTTTAGTTTTTCTCATGCTTGTGTTCTTGGGGCCGGGGTGGGGGGTGGGATGTACAGGGGACTGGTGTCAAAACATGCACATCTTTTATTCACAGAGCACTGTGTATGGTTGCTACCCGGCAATCGTGCTCAGCTGAACAGGAGGAAAGGTAAGGCTCTGTGTCAGAAGAGGCCCGAGCCTCTTCTATGAAATACATGCCTTGTTGCAGTTGAAACGTTTTCCAGGTCGGGCAGTTCTCAAAACCTACACAGGAAGTGTGGTCTGGGACTCTAGAAACCCCACAACAAAGACTGGGTTAAAAAGGATCTGTTTCTGCATCAATCCAATCAACTTGCCCTCACCAAACAGGAGTTAGCCTGTTTTATTTATGTCAGCGAAAAAGCAGAGAACCCCGGCCAGTTCCAAAGACAGCTTATCTCTGTCATCGTATCAGAAGTGGCCGTAAGTTAAATAATCCTGTTTTACCTGATGTTCTGGTACAAACGGGAACACGTTTCCTGTGTAGCTCCCTAGGGCTACCACCAGCCACTGGAGCAGGAGCAGAGGGGAGGTGTCCTAAGTGGCGGGGAGATCTTTCCCCAATTTGATCCCAAGTTCTCACTAGAAAAAGAAAATCTGATTTTGCGATACCTGAAGTCAATGACTCCCTTCATATACACAGAAATGAGAATGTAGTCCTCTTTTTGGAATGAGGAGAAACATACAATTTCTGTTTGGGGGGAAATGTGTTTTTCTCCAGCAGCCAAAAAAAAAAAAAATTAATTTTCCATATACCCTATTCCTAGAAACTCTCATACCCAATAGCTTCCCCCCTATTATCCAAACCTTCCGTGTCTTTTTCTTTCAAGACAAATCCATTCAAACAGTTGCAGTAGAACTTCACAGGTGTGTAAGTGGGAAGGCAACTTCCTCAAAAAAATATCATATAATAAGAGCTCCTAATGACCACTAAAAACAAACAAAAATGCCAGTCTCATTTTTCTCATTTCTTACTGAAGAGAAGTAAATGAAAGGAGCAAGAAATAGATTTGCAATTAAAAGATGCGGTGAAAAGACAGAGCTGAACTAGTGCAATCTCGTCTTCAGGTGCAGAACATGTGGAGTCCAAAGAAATGGGAAGTGGACTTCATTAGGTACGATTGTCTTCACCCTGGAAGTAGTTGGCTCAATCTCACTTCTGGCATTTTGAGAGAGGTTCCTTTTTCTTTTTTTTTTTTTTTTCCAGGCACATAATTATTCCCCACCACTAGGTGAAGTAAGAAAGATTGTGAACCCTTTATCGTCCCTTGGGGTTGCATCCTATATTATTTGGCAGATTTATAAAGATACCAATAATAACAATAAGTAATAATAGTTGCCCTTGTGTTAGTTAAAGGGAGCATTTTTAATCATTGAGAAATTTTTGTGACCTGTAAAGTGCAGTTGTGAGGAATGTGTGGGTGTACGAAAATGTATCTGTCAAGTTCAGAGTCCTCTAGATTTAAAAAAAAATAAAATTATGACTTATCAATGGTGCCGTTTTAGCTGTGTCAGAAAATGGGTGTGCCCATGTTCACAATTATTCTTAAAACAAAGCTATGTTCAAATGCTTTAAAGATTTATCACATTATGCAAGAGTATAACTTTGTCAGCCTTCTAGAGTTTTTTTTTTCCTTCTATTTTTCCTCCAAAAAAAAAAAATCAATGA